CTGCGTGGATATGATGAACACAAAAATAGCCATTCATAATATTTTTGCATAAAACATAGTGGGGACAGTTAGGATGCCACTTAGTCGCTAAAAACACTTGGTCACTTGCGGGTTTAACAAATTTTATTGCATTCATGATCTAGTTCTCATCTGTCCACAATACCTTTTCCCAGAACTTAGTGGGCTTTTTGTGTCATTCGTAGCTGATTCAAAGTGACCTTCCTGTTTTTGTTGTTTATGACTGGTTAGCATCTTGCAGGGTAGCCTCTGTTCTCTTGGAATGTCTTCTGCAGACAGTCGTCGCTGATGCATCCAAGCCTGCCTGCTGAGAGGTGTTTCTAATCTTTAGAATATGTTTTTAGGAGTGATCATCATGATGGTGGAAATTATTTGATAATCAACTTCTTTGGCTTACCAGACATTTGTGATCACTGAAGTCCTCTGACAAGGATAACAGCATGGAGTATTTTCCTGTAATTTTTGGCAAGGTTAAGGCACACATTTTGGGGGATTTTGGACCATTCCTCTAAGCAGATCCTTTCAAGATCTTTCACATTCTTGGGTTTGCTTTCATCAATGGCCCTCAACTCAGCCCACAGCTTTTCAATGGGATTGAGATCTGGTGACTGAGATGGCCATTGCAGATCGTTGATCTTGTTGTCACGGAACCATTTCTGTGTGGATCTTGAGGTATGCTTTGGGTCATTGTCTTGTTGGAAAGTCCACCTATAGCCAAGTCCCAGTCTTCTGGCGGAGGCAACCAGATTGTCAGCCAAAATATCCTGATACTTGGTGGAATTACTTATGCCATTAATCTTAACCCGTGCCTCTGGACCTCTTTAATTAAAACAGCCCCAAACATGACTGACCCAATTATATTATATTTTACCATGTGTACGTGGTGCTTCTCCTTGTTTGCATCACTATTTTGGTGCTAAACATGCCGATGCAGTATCTGACTGAAACGTGCAATTTTGGTCTCATCTGACCAAAGCACCTTGTTCTAGTCATAATTTAAATGACGTTTGGCAAACTCCAAGCACTTGCTTCTGTGTCATCTGGTCTGAAAAGGCTTTCTTCTGGCAACCTTTCCAAAGAGCCTATGATTGTGGAGGTGGCGCCTGATGATGCTTTTTGAAACCTGGAGACCCCAAGATACCACCAAGGCCTACAATTTCTTAACAGTGATTCTTGGGGATATTGATGCTTCTCTCACTGTCCTCCTCCGTATCCTGGGGGGCAAAATGCAGTTGCATCCTCTGCCCTTGAGGTTTTCAACAGTTCCATATCTTTGGAATTTTTTAATAACTGCCTTGACATTGCTCAGTGGCATATTAAGTCGTTTCTGAAACCTCTTGTAGCCATTACCAGATTTTTGAAGGTGTATGACCATCTGCCTCTTTTGAAAAGAGTTGTTTTGTTTTCTTCATGGTTTTGGATGACGAAGGGGTATTGCGTTTGTATCATTTTTATACCCTTGTGAAACAGGAAGTGATGTAATGGCTATAGTTCCTTAACACTTAGATAAAACTTTAGTAATTGGAATTTAATACCTGGTTTAATTTTGGTAGATGTTATTTACAATAATCTTTAAGGGTGCCATTAATTGTGAAACCCTGATTTGGAGGAATTTGATTTTTAATTAAATCAATGATTTTGGTTGGTCCCGCTGGAACATTGTTATCGTACAGTATTTCTTGCATGTTGCAATTCAGAGTTTCTCTCTCTCTCTCTCTCTCTCTCTATATATATATATATATATATATATATAGCCCACTGTAAATAATCAGAGACATATGAAATGCAATTTGCACAATGTTTCCCTGATATTGGAAGATTGTGAAAAAAAGTTCAACTTTTTTCTCCTCATATCATTTCTGGTGTGTGCAGTGATTGAATTATTATTTATTTATTTATTTATTTATTTATTTTGGCATAAAGACAAAGGTAGAAATTTTGGCCCTAATTCTGACAGCTATGTTTGACTTAAAGAGAGTTCAGTTCAAGGAACACTATAAATAACTATGAAGCATAGTGGTGGTATCAACATGCAGTTGGGCTGCTTCTCTTCAGCTCTGATTGGTGTTCTAATCAAGATAATTGGAATAATGAATAACTCTAATTATCTGGGTATATTGGCACCAAACCTGCGGGCCTTTGTCAGAAAGCTGAAGATAAAGAGGAATTTCACCATCTCTGAAAATATTGACCCAATGTACATATCCAAATCTACCACGCCCTGGTTTAGGAAAAATAAATCAAAGTCTTAGAATGGTGAAAATGTGCCACCTGTTTCTTATTATGTGAATTGGAGGGTCATATTAAAGATTCAAAAATCTGATATTTAAATACAGTTATTGCTGGGATCACATTTAAAAACATGCAATTTATGTAGGATGTGTAGACTTGCATATCTTTACTAAGTCTTTATCTTATGCGTTTATGTGTTTATGGTGGTCTCCTTTCAGCTGAAGACATTTTTTTTTAATCTTTTATTTAGTGTAAGTGACATGAAAAAAACCCAAAATGAAAACAGTAAAACAAGGCAAACCTGGCCTTGCCTGACAGATGTGTCTGACCTGTGAACAACTCGTATTTGTTTTTTGTCATGCTCAGATTGAGTATGGGGAGAACTGTTTGCTTATACAGCCAATGGCACTCAGGAAATGAGTATCTGATTGAGTGAACCAATCTGCTTGAAGACATTGCTCTCTTGGGTATAGCCACCAAACAAAACTCAACCACCGTTGGGTAAGGAAGAGAAACTGTTGGAAGCAAAGAAAAGAATAAGATGTTACGGATGTTTCGTTGGCGCACCTTATAAACTTCCATCCAATTCCCTTGTTGAAATCGGATTTTTCCATTGGGTGCATTTCCGGCTCAGGCGCGACACCACAGTATCCATCCTGAACTGAGGCGAGACTCCTCCTCCTGTTAAGGAAACTGTAGAGTCCTTTCATCCAATGGTGCCTTGATTGCAATTGTGGTTAGAACAAAAACCACCATGCACAGGGAGGCCAAAGGACCGAATTTAAGAGCCACTGCTCCATATTAGCTATGAGCGTATCTGTCACAGGTCTGACAATGAAGAATAATAATAATAAATTTATGCTAGTAATACGGGGAATGAAATTAGTTATTTTACACTGATATATCAATGGTTATGTCCCATTGAAACCCAGGCGATCGTGGAGACTTGGTGGTCATGTGTCTGTTGGTTCACGGCATAGTTATTGCCCCGTGCTGGCAAATAAATACTAATGCTTTTGATCGGTATTGCTACATGCTACTAATACATAGTGTGGTATGAGCTATCCACTATGTACTGGTGCCACATGTAAACAAGTTTTCACTTTCGAACATGGCTGTTGTTGCCTTAGCAAACACTCTGTATGCAGTTGATATCTTTCAACAATAAAAATGCACCAAAGAAGTTTCTTGAATATTGCAGATAAAACAATGAATAAAATGCTTTATTAATGTCCACACAGTAATGGTAAGCGCCTCGACGCAAATAAGCAAAGTCAAAGAGGCTGTTTGTGCACCTTCTTCTTTTATGTACAGTACTGTGCGAAAGTCTTAGGCACCCTGCACTTTTTTAAAATTTAAATCTGTATTACATGTTTACTTTTTGATTCCATAGTAGAGTCCCTGAAGATAAAAAGTAAATTTGAAATTCCAAATGCTAATTTAAAGAAAAGTTTAATAATTAAATGTTTGTATTCCATTAAAAAAAGTCGATACAGATATTATAGTCTTGATTGAGCCTTGATGTCAACATCATCATGGCTGTTTGTAATTTCTTGGAGGGATAGACGCAAGTGAGACAGTCAGTCTGAAGAAGAATGGTGGCAAGTTTTCCACTCTGCTTAGAACATGCAGACACCAATCATCTTATAAAGCTACAGCGCAACAGGACAGTGTCCCAAATTTTTCAAAGGGTAGCTGCACCAAATATTGATTTGATTTACATTTTAACAGGCTCTGTATAGTACATTTCTCAGTTATAAGAACCTTTTTATTTAATCATTTTTTGCAAGCATATTTGCCCAGTGAAATTGCTGTAACCCCTTAAGCCTGACCTTACGCTTAATGAATACAGCATGTTTCCAAATCGCAACATTGTCATGCGGCATATCCACTTTACACGAAGAAACTCGGCAAAAAGTTCATGTTGACCATTTTTACATCAACCGAACACAATTCATGCACCTAGCAAGTAAATAAGCATGTAACAAAACATAGGATAAAATCATATCAGCACTGAGTTGCTAGAATTTCTCCTGAATTTGTGTTATGCATAAAAACGATACCTCAAATGAAAGAGGAAAGTCCACAGAATCCAACGATATATGCCCTGTCATTTTAAACTGACACCACACTCAAAGAACAGCAGGCATACACTTTACAGTCTACAGAGATTAGCGAAGAAATTTCTAACCTTTGATATTTTGTAATAAAAAAAATTGAGGGTAAATCCACGCTTGCTATTGTTAGCTCAGTGTATCCATGTTATAATGAAACTAGATCTGCGAGTCTCAAAGCAAATTTTTCTTCTCAAGCATTGCTTCAAAGATCTCAGTTCCTCAGCATTCAGCTTGCTTACAATGTATTTTCCTCTCTGTGATCGGCTTGTGATGCCGTCAGTAAAACTTTGTCGGTAGCCATTTGATTCTACGGCTTCTGACGTTTCCAACGAGCCCTAAACCACCTTAATCGCAGAAACCTTGCCTGAGCTAGAGCCTTGCGTTTCCAGTGCGTCAAACTAAGTCCATGGGCCATTCGAATGTACTTAAACAGCGCAACAATATAAACACTTAACAGGTTTGTTTGTGGTATTTTTGGTACAATTATCCGCTAAATATTCAACCGTCTTTTTCAAAGTCGTTTTCTGACAGAAAACGCGTGAATACTGAGAGCACAACAGTACAAACAAGATGAGTGACTTGTTTTCTTGACTCATTCTTTATATGGGCAATTTAACAACAATGTAGCAGTCAACTGATATAGCCTAGTGGTTAGGGTGTAGGACTGTAACGCAGGCGACCAGGGTCCGAGGCCCCGGTCAGTCGTACTTCAGTAAGAGGATGGTACCGTTTTTCTTGTATAAATAATTGCTGTGGTTTTTGTTCTTTTTACTTTTTTCCAATTTTTAACCTTTCCTTTGTGTTCATAACATTATTAATTTGCTTTTTTTTATAAATCTGCTTCAGTGGAGCCAAACTTCATTTTCTTTGTATGTAGTGTCTTTGAATGGGAAGTTATATAAGCCAGGGCTGTTCAACCTTTTCCAAAAAGGGTCGATGTAGGTGCAGGCTTTCATTCCAACCAAGCACTTACACATCTGACACTACTAATCAACCCCAAGCGTCATTGCTAAAGAGCTTGATTTGTAATATCAGGTGTGTAAGTGCTTGGTTGGAATGAAAGCCTGCACCCACATCGACCTTTGCAGGACAATGTTGAATAGCCCTGGTATAGGCTATAGGACTGGCAGAAATAATAATTTAAAAAATATTTATAAATTCTAAAAATTATGATTGCATTTGGGTGGAATGTATGCCTGTAGTGACATACAAGTGAAATTAGATGAGTTTTACAGTTTAACATCCGAGAAATCTCATTTGGCACACAAGGTACCTGAATTGCCAGTTTGGAGGACCCATCTAGAAATAACTCTCTAATTTTGTTTGATTTACTTGATTAGAATATACTTTGGCACATATAATGGTGAGATTCTGAGCTGTAAATTTTTAGAGGTTTCAGACTGCAACTAAATAAGTTCACAAGGGATAGAAGTAAAACTTTGTTTGGTGCAAAATGAGATCTTTTATTTATACTGTGTTCCATCTTCATTTACACTGACTCAGTGACATATATACTGATTTTTACACCAGGGCAGAAATCCCAAATTGTTTTACCTTTATTGTGATATCAAGATTATTCAAATGGACCAAATAGTTGCAGAGATATACTAATTTCATTTTGGGCTTGCCATTTTCGAAAAAGAGGCTCAGGGCTTAAGAGGTTAAATGTGCCCAAGAACCCCAGCACAGGGTTCCAGCACTGGTATTGATTTGAGCTGGCCTCGCTGCTCTTATCAAACCTACTTGCAGCTATCACAGGGCAGATGCATATTTCTGTATAACTCTGAAAAACCACTCCAGTTGACGGATTGTGGATGAAGTAGTGATGGTCCTTGTGTACATCGCATATGATGAGAAAAATTGGGCCCTTGCTCACTTAGTCCCTAAAAAAGTTTATTAGCGTTGTTAAATGAAATGGCAACATTACAAAGTGATAAATACTTAACTGTCCCAACTCTTTTAATATGTTCCAAGAATCCAAATTGAAATGTGCTTAGTTTGAAAAATAAATAAAATTAATGCGGCAAAACATCAAATAATGTGCTGTTGGATTGTTTTCAATGTAATACAAGTCAAAGATAATTTGCACGTCACTGTTTTTAGTTTCGATTCAACATAACATCCCAGCCTTAGGTGATTGGGGATTGTAGTAGTGCATGCATTTTAGTTTTCTTAAAGGTGCAGGAGCTTTGATGGCATTTATACAAGCACATATTAAAATTACTTTTTAAGGGTTTTTTTTAACAATTTTATGCATGTCAGATATATTATCTGAATTGTTTTTTATTATACTGTCTGCTGTCTTGGTCAGGTTTCCCTTGGAAAACTAGATTTTATCTCCAGGGACTTTGTGGTGAAGTAAAGGTTAAAATAAATCAGTCTCCTAAGACTGAAATCTATTGACACAGCTGTGAGAGACACTCTTCCCCCTGTTGTTTGTTGCCTGAGCCATCGTGAGCTCTCTTTCTGTGAAAACCTCCACAGTGGAGCCCAGCAGACACAGTAAGAGGCCTGTATACTGAGCCTCCTGTGACCGCGGACTTGCAGCACAGCAGGGACTGATAAATCCATTGAAGTGAGCAGAACACAGACTTTGGTAGAGGGAACCAAACTAATTTTAATATCAACCTGCAACCATAACAATCCACTTGGAAATGCGCTCTATAACATGGCATCACCCAATCACAGGCAGAAAGCAATTAGGATGAAGGATGATGTCACCCTCTTAGCTATTCCTCATAAATATTTGTCCCGCGGGATGTTGGTGGGAGGGGGTTGAATGTTTCTGGTTGTGATGTGCCGTGTGGCACAAATTAGCAACAGTTAGTGTTGGGCAGTGTACTATTGTAACCTTGTCTTTTTTGGAAAATGTCCTCTGATATTAAGACTAATGTGAGACATTGGAGTATAAATCGGGGCACCGGTAAACCTCCATTATCTGTGTGAGTGTGCGTTGATTTGCCAATGCTTGCTCGTGTGTATGTGCGTTTGTATGTGTGAGCGGGTGCGTGTGTGTGCGTGCGTGCATGTGTGTGTGTGTGTGTGTGTGTGTGTGTGCCTGTGTGTACATATGTGTTTACATGCTAGTATGTCTTTGAAGTGCACAAAAAATTCTACCTCTGTCAACATTTGGTGGATATGACTGCAAATGAAGCCATCCGACACGTCCTCCCGGGATCATTAGTGGATCGCTGAAATGCGGTCACACTGCACTTGCCATCTATATCCTGTCAATTTGCAATTGTTCAAGTGCATGCTTGACAGATGTGAAGGATTCCAGCTGAAAGAATATCCTTGACCTGCTGCTGCCAGAGATGGCAAATGGAGAGGGAAGCACCAAGGAAAAGTTTGAGAAAGAGAGGGGGACAGGCTGAGGGAATTCACTCTCGTTTCCCTCGCCATTTAGGTCAGGCAGGGGCTGTCGCCATCTTGAATGTTGACATCAGGTAACTGCACTTACAGCAGTAAGTTGTAACATGCTCGACCGCCCTCCAATTTTACTAAGTTTGAGCAAGATTTCATTGCCGATATTCAACTTGTGTGGATTTTTAGGAAAGCCCAAGACTTGCTTCTCACTTGTTCCATCCTAAAACATTGTCTCATGAATTATCAAGGGGAACGTGTTTGAAACCATCATTTCAAAGGAAGCTTCTTTTTTAAAATATCCCACAATATCTTTATGTTTTTGTTTTCTCATTTCCCCCCCCAAATCGCACAGTTGATAGTACATGCACTGAGGATTCTTTGTGCCAAATTTTAGTAAGCTCTTTGCAGAGAGGCCAAATCTGGCCATTTCAAATGTAAGGCTTCTGAATTCAAGATTTGAGCATCACAGAGAGTGAAAAAATGACATAAATAAAACAAGACACATGTATCATACAGAATACCATCTTATATCAGTGTATTTCTAGAAATTTAGTGCAGAATAAGAGCTGCAAACACAAAAAAATCTTCATGAAAATTCAACATTCAAATTTAAAAAAAAATGCTGGGAGTTTAAGAATGGCTCGGAGGGAAAACAATACACTTCTTGGATTGTGGACTCCATGATGAGAAGTGTGTAACATTTGAGAGTGATATCAAAATTACCAACAGTCCATGAGCCAAAAAAAGATCTCTATCCAAGTGGATCTCCAAGTGGATCTCTTTTGTTAGTTGAATGTTTACCCTGCAAAGAAACAGTGTGCTGTTACCACCTACAATATGGATGAGGGGTTGGACTTCAGGAGGCGGAAAAATGAAGAAAAAAGGGGAAAACTATTTGGAAGGAATACCAGGCTGCAGGCTCAGTCCTCCAGTGCCCCATTCCACTGTAGGTCATGCCAATCAGTAATGTAATCAGCCACAACGCAGAGAGGGACATCACAAGGATGACACTTGTGCAATGTCATGTTCAGCTTCTTCCTGCTGCGGCAAAACACGTGGTACCTCCTTCCCTCAATAGCCTATTCACATACAGTATGCCTGAGACTCGGCCCCATTTAGCTAATCTACTGGTACTCACCAAGCACACAGCAAAAGCACGCTTGTATAAACAATTTTAACACCCTATAAGGAGCTACTTACTAATATCTGAAATATAGCTTATGTGCCCAAGAAAATATATTCCACCATCAGAAAAAAAGCAGGCTATATACTACCCTGGATTGAAGAGAACTTGATGCATCGAAGTTAACAGTGGGTATACTGAAGGACTAAGGGCCAGACCGGAAAAATCATACAGGCTGGGAAATATAGCGTGAAATATAGCCCCAGTCAGGCCACTTTTTAAGCGGAGAGACTAGGGATGGAGGCTAAGGACTCCTTTTACTACATTCTGGTGGATTTTAGTGCATGTGAATCACAAAAGTGAATAAGCTAATAAAACTAATTCATTCAATGTTCCGTTATAAACCTCAAATAAAACAAAAGCTGCAAACCCCAATTCCAATGAAGCTGAGATGTGTAAAACCTGAATAAAAGCAGAATACAATGATTTGCAAATCCTTTTCGACCTTTATTCAATTGAGTACACTACAAGGACAAGATATGTAATGTTCAAATTGATAAACCTTAATGTTTTTTTGGGTATATTCACTCATTTTCAATTTGATGCCTGCAACACGTTCCAAAAAAGCTGGGACAGGAGCAACAAAAGACTGGGAAAGTTGAGGAATGCTCAAATAACACCCATTTGGAACATTCCACTGGTGAACAGGTTAATTGGAAACAGGTGATTGTCATGATTAGGTATAAAAGGAGCATCCCTGAAAGGCTCAGTCATTCACAAGCAAGGATGGGGCGAGGTTCACCACTTTGTAAACAACTCCGTGAGCAAATAGTCCAACAGTTTAAGAACAACGTTTCTCAACGCGCGATTGCAAGGAATTCAGGGATTTCATCATCTACTGTCCATAATATCATCAAAAGATTCAGAGAATCTGGAGAAATCTCTTCATGTAAGTGGCAAGTCCGAAAACCAACATTGAATGCCTGTGACCGTCGGTCCCTCAGGCGGCACTGCATTAAAAACCGACATCATTCTGTAAAGGATATTACCATGCGGGCTCAGGAACACTTCGGAAAACCATTGCCAGTTAACACAGTTCGTCGCTACATCTTCAAGTGCAAGTTAAAACTCTACCATACAAAGCGAAAGCCATATATCAACAACACCCAGAAACACAGCCGGCTTCTCTGGGCCCGAGCTCATCTGAGATGGGCT